GACGGAGTGTTCTACAAATCCACATTTGAAATACAAATCGATATACTGTTGTTAAAAGCTGTCACAGTGTTACTTCATCGTGTGGGGCAAGTTTGTGACAACATTGTTTTTGGGCTGAATGTGATTGAGAAAAAAGGCTGGCACGAAGCTACACCATCAAAAGTTCATTTGAGTTATCTACAATTGGTTTATGCTCTAGCAACGTCTAGCAATTATTCAACGTCTAGCAATTTATTCTTACACGTACTTCCTGAATAAAAATATTTTACCTCAAAGATACCCCGTTTGCCTACTGGCCTAGTGTATTTATTCAAGTACAGAATTATTTCTTTTGAGTACTAAATTGCGTCTTCGCAGTCCTGCCATCTCTACTTTTTTGGGGTCTTCCCCATAGTGCAATGCCTTTCTCAAGTAAAGTTGTTGTTCAAAGTTTTCTACGTCAAAGTCATCCTTCTTGAAAGTTTTTATTCGGAAATCGAACCATGAACCACCGAAACATTGCTGGTATAGGGCGCGAGGCCCACCACTAGAGGCGTGAGCACTGGAATCACGGTGGCGTGCAGGGTTAGAGCACGTGATCTCGCCTCGCTGTTAAAAAGAGAAAAAGCTGGTGGTTGGTGTCGTTGTCTTTAACGCAGCTTCACTGTGTTTTCTTTTTTCTTTGAACAGCAATGTATTGCTCCGATTTTTTCTATGTAGATTTTTGCAGTCTGCAAATGCGGGAAGTAGTAGTAAACGTTAGCCGCGATGTGACACAGTGCGCTTTGTACGCGATGCCACGGTAGCGGCCGCTGGCAGTACTACTCTCACTTCTCTCTTTCATTGATGTTGTGGTTGTTATTTCGAGCCCATGGGGTTAAAATAAGCACCAGCCATGAATGTTCACTCAAGAGCAGAACGTTTTAGTTTCCGCACGGGAGCCTCGTTCACAATGAAAAATGAATGTGCAAACAGTTCGATTCTGTATACTTTGAAGTGAAACTCTGAACTGTCAAAGAGTCAGGATATAGCCCGGAAGTCTAGTTCCATTTCCTTTCTTTTCGTTATTTTTGCTATTCTGGTCTATTTTGTGGCCAGATGCGTCTGCGTGTTCGGCCATCCTGTTCAACGAAGCCTTCTTTCTTAGGTGTGTACGTGTGCGCTACAGTCAATGCTGAAGCTTCTCTCGCCACGGCAACTTGTACCACACGCAGTTTTAATTTTTTCGTTTGTCACTGTCTGCATAAAATGAAGGTTTCAGTTCATCATCAATGATTACTATGGTTTCATGTGCCAAACAAGATATGACTTTGAGGCAGGCTGTATTGTAGGTATCATGATTATTTGTGACCGCATGCAGTTCTTCAAGGCACTCATATATCTTGTTTCATGGGTGTTCTTTGTATCTCGCCCCCATATAAATGCGGCCACCGTGGTTGGACATCCATCCCGTGCCATCTGTCATAGGAGCGTGACACCACCCATGTTTGCTTTTATGGTTGTTTGCTTGATCAACGTCCACGTACATTCTATAGTAAACAGGGCGTACAAATGGCGCCAGAAAAAAAAAGAAACCTGATGCCACAGCTAACACATCCTCTCTTTTGTTTTACTACATAGGTGCGCAGTGTGGTATCGTCGCCACACGGGCATATCAGCTGGTATTACCTTAGCGCAAAATCCAACACGCAACCAGACAACAATGACGAGGTAGTCACCACCACTGGACAGCACGTCCCTTCGATGTCACATGCGTATACCCGCAGTTCTGTTTGCAGAGCTTCTCGCCATCTTCGAGTGCCATTTATGTGACAGTAGCCTTCGTACAAAGTCTTTTTCTAAGCCACAGTGCAGTATCACTTGCGCAATAATTTTAGAGCTGTTCGTTCTAAATTGAAGCATGGCAGCGGCACATGCGCGTGCTCTCCCCGCAGTAAACTGCAGCTGGTCGTCTGGGTACGAGGGGCTGAGTTGTGTCGTGAGCCATGTGTTGTTTATTGGCGCACAACTTATCCAGTGCTGGTCTCCTATGAAACTAAGACTTTGGATCAATGCAGATATAAAAAAGTGCGTGCAATTTCAGAGGTTTCTGAAAGTTTCTGAAGTCGGCAACTCTGGAGTGATAACAAAAAATAATCAACAATCCTTTTAAAATGCCTAACCTGTGTTAAAGTTTAGCGAAATGTAAAATAAAGTGCACTCTGGTGCCCTGTGTTTTAATTTCTTGCTGTTTTATAATCTTGTAACCAACAATACAAACATGGTGCGTTTTATTGGAAGAAAACTTTTTAGTAGTGAAGAGTACTCAAAAAACCTTTTAAAAAGTGATACCTGGGTTGGAGGTTAGTGAATTGTAAAAACAAATACACGGTGTGATGTGTGTGAATTTGTTGCTGTACTTTATACACTTGCAGCCAACAGTACAAACATGGTGCGTTTCATTGGAACAAGCTCGTCGTGATTCTGAATAGAATTGGCTAGCTTGCATTTGAGGAATAACATTAGGCATGTTAAAACTGATGTGTGAGTGATTATTCGAATGAAAGAAGTCATCTTGATAGTTCAAGTACATTGTATTAAGGAAGCTTTGATGTCGACAGGACGCATTTCTCTTTTTATGAGTCCTGGCGAAAACATGAGGTGATGAATGCATTAAAGCATACTCCTCTTAATGAATCCATAGTGAAGGGGTATTCAACACATAGACAGAGAGAGAGACTTTATAAAGAAAAACATATTTTCGCAGGCGTCTATATATCGCTGGCTTTCTACTCTTTATAGGACTGCCACCTTCATGCGAATCGGTCAGTGAATAGGAGGCGGTAATGTATTATTTGTTTTGAGTGAGGCTTTATGAGGGGGAGCTACGTCTTTGTAGAGGTCAAGTAGTTGTGCACATATCGATGGCTTTCCGCATACAATGGCTGTCTTGGCGGCTAAAGAGGGACATGGTAGCAGAGCTGACGCGAAAGTTTTGTCGTGAGTAAGCGCACGGCAAGGTGTGATGACCTGCATAACTTGAGTAATGGTCGCTTATCTATTGGAACAATGCTTATTTATATATAGCTCTTTGTGTGATGGTTGTATATCTGTAATGGTAATTAAATAATTGTAAAGGCTCATGTCCAATATAGCCACCGCAGTTGTAATTGCCTCAACTTGACGCCTATGTTGGGTAGTTTACGAAGCATATGAAGTTACTTGTGTGGCTTTGTAAAAGAATAGTTGACAGCCCCGCAGAAGGACTGGTTCTATTGCGGCTAAATATATCAGTTTAAATCTTTGCTTCCCTCGTGAGTTAGCACCAAGTGACAATGCCGCTGACACCAGAAACACAATTTTCGGTAACACGAACCTCTTTTTCCTATCCGGTTAAAATTTCCAACATCCGGGTTGATAAGCATAATCAATCGCCTGCTGTACACACTTCACACCACCAGCCGCGCCATGTGTGTATGTGCCACATGTGTTAATGTGTTGCGACGCACGTGACAGGAAAGTAAATTTATTAACTGAAGAACGTTAAAGAGCTCCTTTCACAACAAAATTCTGCATCGGCATCGATAGTGAGCAAAAATGATGCATAGCAAAAGAGTGAAAAGCGAGATGGTTTGAGATACATAAATTATAAGAAAAAGATATTTGGTCCGAGTGATTTATACTAGGCTTTCTGCGTGGAAAGCAGGTGCTCCACTGGAAAACAACACCAGTGGTGTAAACTACTTTATAAAGCAGCAGAAAATGTGCTGCAAAAATTGCATGTAGTGAAAGGGTCTCCTTGAAGCATGCAATGTTGTGGGGAGGAATCCGCACCAGGTGTCAAAACGTGTGAGCTCCGTAGCGAGTGGGTGGCTTAAAGCTGACCACCTACAATGTAGGGTGCCGATCCACGTGGCACCTTACAACCGTGATGTGGGCTTGTAAGAAGCATTTGGCGCAATGGCACTTAGCAACTGTACTTGTAGTAGACATTCTTGGGTTGTTGGAAATGGCCATTGTAACTCACACCAACGGTTCTTTCCTTAAGCTATGGTTGAAGGCATTACGCACGAGTTCCGATTCACTATCATCTTCAACTATTGAAGGCGAAGTTCAAGCACCCTCCAATTTTTTAAAGAATAATGCGGCACAGTGGTAAGCAACCTACCTTAAGTCATCTGATATGGTAACCATAGCCTAAGCACGATTTAGTAATAGTAATTTGCAAATAGATACACCTCTACCATACGTACAATCATTGGGCGAAAAAGCAGTATACGCATACTACTGCGATGAGGGCAGCGACTTGGTAGTAAAAATGTGATAGCTAAACACTACATTATAGGTCTTCGGAGGAATTTCCTGCCACTTCTTCTTTGAATATGTGACTCACACCCCTCATTTCATAACTACTTTCTGCCATCTTGCCCAACGAGACATACACTTTTTGCATCGTTTTATTGTGCACTATATAGGTATTCATAATAGTTTCATAGGAAACTATTCAATATACTGCCACAGGCATTCCTATTTTTTCTATGTTTCATGTTACCAGCCCATTTTACGTGTAGATACTGTCTTACGCAAACCATGCCAGAGTATCTTGCTGCATTCCACATTATTTTGGGATAACATACTACGCCCAAGCGCACGAACGCGACCGTCGGAGTTTATTCTCACATAAACAGGGCCAGCAGCGATAATGCTCGAATGCTCGCTGCCTTATTCATATATACCGATGCACTTTGATGCGAATCAGATTATTGACGGCTGATGCTCTGTTCGTCGCTAACTACTTTCCACCGCTATCAGTGCACAGTGTGAAATGCTGTATATGGACATCCCGTTTACCACCCACAAGTTCAGCAAATAAAGATTCATCTCAGACACTCGATATGTTGCCTCCGTAAACGTCCCGACCGCATGACGCTATTTAGCTGAAAATTTCATGGTGCTATACTGCTGCAGAATACTACATAACATCTGGATACTACACAACACAGCACAAAAGCATCTCGCTAACATTTATCACAAACACTCACCCCATGCTCCGAAGGCGGCCTTGAGCACGAAATTTGGCACGTATGTTCCCAGAACACGGACGAAGCGAAGGTACTGCAGTAGTGCCTCAACGAAGGTCCATGCGAAGGACACGAGCAAGAAGTAGTGGAGTGCCGCACCCACGCATGTGCAGGACACCGCACTGGCGTGCTGCTTAGGAACATTGGCCATTGCCACGAACGAGACGAGGGCTCCGACAAGTGCAAGGCAGAGGTTGAACAGAATCTGGTGGCCCGTGCCTTTGCGCCATTTTCTGTGCAAGGTAAAAAAAAAGAAAGGGCTGATGGGAACCGGAACTGTGATGCAGATAATTGAGCGATGAACTTGTGAAAGTGTATAGAAGACTGACATATCTGATTCAGCTTTAGTAAAAGAGACGAGTGGTTAGAAAAAAGTTTTGCTAAAGCACAAAAGATTCGCCTGACAAGAAAATACTTCTGGAAGTGATTGTCTCATAACGAAAAATCACCTCAGGCAAGTATGTTCTCGTAGGTCTGTGCAATACCCAGCAAAGCAAAAAAAGATTTTAGCATATATCGTATTACGGTATACGAAAACCACTTCTTTAATAATGAATCGATTGATAACATCAACATCGACACTTTGCCTAGTCTTTATTAAAGTCGTGTTCGTTTATTTTCTTGGTGCAAAACAGTCTAAAAGCGTTTTGGAGTACACCGCGGACGAAAAATTTACAGACGCGGAGGAGGCTAAGGAAGCTCAGAGTAAACAAAGTTCGAAAAGACGATAATGAATATGGAAAAAAGTAGATGGGCTAAGAAAGTGGTCCGTTAATTGTATAAGAGGAGGGTCTACATACGGTGAAGAAAAGGAACTAGAAGGCTCACTAGTAAATATAGGATGAGCATTGTAAGTGATATCGCAACTAAAAGCGTCAAGCGAAAAGTCAGAGAAGTGGAGAGGATAAATTGCATGGCAGAGCTGGAGAAAAGCCGGCTCTGAGTTACTACTGAAAAGACGAAAATGAAATACCAAGGAAGGTACTCTATGAAAATTCAGGGAGAAGTGCTTCATTTCTTCAAGAGATATCACGTTGCCTTACAACGCGTAATTAAAAAGCGAGATTCAGTAAAAAAGAACAATGCAAATGGTGCGGCGAAAATTAGAAAACGGTGGAGTACGTAAAAATAGAACGCGGGGTTGTGCACCCTAGTGTAGGCTAGGGCCCGAGCCTTTACACGAAGCTATGAATTTCAGGGACAAGAATAAAAGCTGAACAAGCCCGCGATAGAAATGGGTTCAAGATAGATATGGTATTGTCTGCAGAAAACTACAGATAAATTACAATAAAAACAGAAAACAATAGGTACATTCTGCCGAGAAAAGAGACAGAACTTAGCTGTGAATTAGCGTTTTTTATATTAGGAATCAGTCAGACTAAACAGTTAAGGCATTCGGCTAACTGAAGAAAACAAAAAAGGCTTGTTTTATTTGTTGAGGCTGGTTGCACATTTCTCACCTCCCCGTTATAAAGCGGGCGGCCCCGCTCATTGCACCCATCCATTCTCAAACGCATCCTATATATATATATATATATATATATATATATATATATATATATATATATATATATATATATATATATATATATATATATGCGAATGGGTGTGTGTCTGAACAGGTGACTTCTCTAACACCGTAGCACGTGGCGCAGATCTTTTCAGCACACTATCGGTGATGTCTAATACACACCATTTACCGTAGGTGGTGCGCGGATTTTGGGGGAACACCAGCGTATTCGATGCCTTACCAGCGAGTTGCCTTGAAGCGCGGGCTTGGCGTTCTACTCGTTGCGATGCGTTGGCGCGCCAACCTGCGATTCGCCTTGCGGGTCGTCGTCACCAATGTACGTGCCCATGCGTGCGTGAGCGCGCGCGATCATCTTGAGGTGGGGGCCGTTTGTTCGTCGTGTGCTTTCGCAAAACGAATTGCGCTTAGGTTAAAGGGCACACAAAAGTCGCTTCGCTCACTGAAAAAGGCCAGTTTGCGAAAGAAACGCGCTGTTTCAACACAGGGAAGTAACAACTGTGATACTTGTTAGTTCGCCCTCATCCTGCCTATGTTTCATTTTTGTGTGTTTTTGAGTAGTATGTCAAGTGTAGAGCTGTGAACGTGGTTAGTACGCTTGTCTTGTGTGTGTGTGTTTTTTTTTAGTACAAAGCTCCTTACGGCGTGGCTTGTTTGTTCACGTTGTGAGTACACGCCCTTCGTTAATTCTTGAGCCAGCCATAGAGGGCGATACTTGTACTACACGCTGAAAAATACGAATGACACGACACTAGAGGGCGTTACTTGTAAAAAGAAAGATTGACGTCACACGTACGGAAGGAGAATGAGCGAATCGCGTGGCTATGATCACGTGTTCTTCGTCGGTGCCGTATGCCAGGGGCGCTCTTTAGTACAATAAAAGCGCTGTTTTGGAACGCGCGCGCATTCAGAGGCTCGGCGACGGAGGATAGACAAGGCTGTTGAGCGGCGTGCGCGCAGGCCTGCGAGGTTGGTGATCGACGGGACCCCGACGTACGGGAGCGCGAGGCAGAAATGCGCCGCGAGAACCATGAAGTACAACTGGATGCCGAAACGGTGCGGCACCGGCGTGTGGACCCAGCATCGCCCCACTCTCCATCATTTGCCCCGTGGATATGCTGTCATTTTTTGTGCCTCCTTTGTGCTTGAGCAACGCGCTCCAAGTTTCTATCAGCTTGCCGTTGATCGCGTGACATTCCAACTTTCTGCTATTGCAGTAATCGCTTGGCCCTTGCGGGGAAATAGGCTTCATTTTTTTTCGGAGTTTGTCGTCCTAAAAGTGATAGGACTGAAAAATAACCGCGGGTACATACTGCGCGTTCATGGCAAACTGTCAGCATAGTTCTCACTCTTTGTGGGCTGGCAGTTTGCGTATTTCTCAAGCTTCAGGAACAAGTTACTGTCACCCTAGCTTCCTGAATCCGACCGTCATGTGTTTGGAAAATCCAAAATTTGTCCCATCGAACATGATGGAATTAATTCGGCGAATTTTACAAATTCCCAGTAGACCAAAATCCGTGTCATACTGGCTCGCATCACACAGGTATCACGCGATTTACCCACTCGGGGCAGTAAAAAAATTGAAGTCGTGCTTAGAACAACGTCAAGGAAAGCCATGTTGTGACTTGTTTTCTCGCGTGCTTTGTTGCCTGGTGACAACTTTGTGTGCGTCATGACTAATGGCAACCGAGTGTGGTGCCTCAGTGATTTTTCTGAGTAATTGGCATTTCTGGGTGTCATCTTCATCTTCAAGCAACGCCACTGGTGCAGTTATGCCGGTGACATTCAAACTTCCTGCTATTGCAGTAATCGCTTGGTCCTTGCGGGGAAAAAGGCTTCATTTTTTTTCGGAGTTTGTCGTCCATCGGTGTAGTCAGAAGCAGGCTGCTAGCCTGCTTCTGACTTTACCGATGCCGAGATCATGGTATTACGTTCCTGGTGTCGAGAAGGTGGACACGAGCGGTGTTTGAAAACATGCTAACACTGATCCTGTGCGACCATGTGTTGGGCCTTAAAGCATGTGTCGGGATTATATGTTACTCAGTGGCCTTATGGTGCAATTAAAGGTTCTGTATTTGCTTTCATCGAAAATTTCAGTAATATTCAGAATGTCTAGATTTTCAGGGCACACAAGAAGCAGTATATCTTCATGAACTGTTTTCTTGTGAATTAGGTGTGGTAACTTGCAAAAGGGGATGCTGTCACCTCCTTCTGCAGAGTCTGAACAAATCGGAAAGTTTGGGCTTGTTAATCTGAACAACTATTTTGAGACCTGCATTGTTTTAAAATAAGTCTTAAATGCGCTTATTATGCATTTTTATTATTTCTTTCTTAATGCGGTTTGAGTTCAATATTTATAGTAAGAACATCAACATAATATTCGTTATGTAAATTAACATATTTAAATACAGCTAATTCAATAGTATATAAACAAAGACATGTTTACACTATTACTATTTTTGATTGAAGCTGATCCAACCACAGGAGTGGTTGAAATGTAGGGGTACTTCTGCAGAATGACTGTATATGCTATGCAAAGCGGAAAAACGTGTGCACCGTAGCCTGCAACTATTGCGATGTTACAGAAAGCTTCTCCAGGCTTTACTGAACATTCTTCTTGCAAAGTACATGTCAGCATTCCTTAGATATTTGCACGTCAATATTTCAATTGACAAGTTACTTACTTGAACAAGATGTAGGTGAGAATTACCATTAACAGGCCCAAGCCGGAGACAGTTACTCCGATTAAAGTAGTGTAGCTGAGAATTGCATCATGTATATTTCTTCCGCTCCTGCTTTTCTCATGTTTCTGAAAAATACAACAACTGTCAACAGGCTTGCTTACAAAATATAAACACAGCTGTAACTGCGCAGCATTCTTTTTCAGCCTCTCAGCCTATTTATGGTGAAGTGTATCCAATCATTCAGTTAACATACAACCGCTAACAGATCGCGGCCATATGTCATGAAAACATCATTTGTTTTTTTTTACTTTAAACAAACTTATGTACCTTCTGTAGGCGCATTTTTGGAGTGTTTGTTTTGACAAAGTTCCTTATTACCAACTATACTTTCGTTCTATAAATATTTTGTTGTCCAGATTCCAGATATTCATTAGCATCAGTTTAGTGTTTATGCGTGTTAAAGAAAATATATAGGTTCATTGCAGTGCTTTACGACTCTATGAAATTATTACGGCAGGGTGCCACGTAAGCATTCATTATGATAGAATATCGCAAAGTTGATCGGTAGCGCTAAATTATTCAGTAGGTAAAAATACCTGACAGCAGTTCTGCATTATTGTTACTACTCACAAATATCACGGCGAAGCTGGTCAAGTGGGTGCAATTGCAGAGGTGGTATTCATGCACTATACCGAGGTACTCGCAGCCATCACCAGACCATGAACCAAGTCGCTCATTTTCATTGATATCCCAAAATACGCACTTAATTTCATCGGGAACAATGTCCTGAAAAGCACAAAGAGAGAGGGATTGTCTTCATAAACGTTACTTTCTTAAAAAAAGTATCGAGGAAAACATCTCTCATAATATGTCTGCACTAGATTTTAAAAACTTGATGAAGCCTGAAATCACATGGATGATTAAATTTTCATAGCCAAAATGCTGTGCTAATGCAGCACCATCCGACTCAATATGGCTAACTTGCAATTTAAGCATCTGCAGGATCCAACAATTGTTTTGCCCAGTGTGTACACGCACCACGCCCTAAAGTTCCCTTGCTTTTCAGCGGCTTTGCACCTTATGATACTGCCGACATGAGAGTTCCTAATGCTAAATTTACAGATTACTGGCCCAACACGGTACGTACAGTAAAAATGCCTAAATACGCGCTTCACTTACACACTATTTCATTAATACCATGTCAGGCATTTTGCCTAACAAAATATCAAGAGACATCCATGCATGAAATCTGATTGCAAATGACATTCCCGCATGTTTCCTCTCTAAATTATTGAAAATTTTCGCTGTAGTGGACATCCTGAGAAAGTACGTCAATAAGTTTGCTGCTTTAAACTTCTGCAAGGTCATCATATATAGTGCTCGAGAAGGCTCTAACTGTGGTAGATATGCCAAAGGAACGACGTGTTTTGTTCTAGACCTTTTAAAGCTTTATAAAGCCTTCTTTTGATCCGAAACAGTGTGAGGTGCATCTGTTTTGCTCTTTATCAGGAGTAATTAGAAATGTCGATAAAGTTTTCTTGCCATACATCTCTCGTATACTGATGTTTACATCGGTGTTACCACGATAATCCTAATAAATGGGTTGTACACCACTCCGAATAATTATGCACTGTAACTGAGTGCTGTTTCCCGCTAAGTTCATATTTGGTTCACAGAAGTAATGAGATACTTTTATGAGAATGTCAATTCATTTTTAATCTGATTGAATCATTGTGCAAAAAACGGCATATTTTCATAGTTCATAAACACACTCTTTTACACAGAAGGAAACTGTGATGCAACAGTCACCATGTCAATGCACGTATGAAAAGCCACGTATACTACCCCGACGGAGAGCTGTAAGACATATGCAGAAGGCTCGTGAAATTTCTTTAGCTATTTTGAGCGTTTTCTCAACATTTTCAGACAACGTAAGAATTTCCATAAACATCGCCTTTTCTCGTCTGCTTTCTTTCTTCTGCTTTCTTTCTTCTTTATCTATATATGTCAGGAAGTGCATTAAAACTTCTTACCGCACTAAAGCTTTGTAGTATTTAGGGCCCTTTCTATTTGGATATGGCCATAGCAACTCGTATATAGAAGACCAGAACAGCTTCTTATTAAACTACACAGTCAGCAGCCCACCACCCATTAATACCCTTAAGACGAAAGTTCCTTCCCATTATTTGAAATAATTTGCTAGCAGTGTACGTCTTTAGAAACACAGAAAGAACGAAGAACAGTTTTCATGGGTTATCAAAAGAGAATGATCCAAGGTTTTTATTTGGAAATTCCATTCTATGCAAACCCTAACAGCATTGATCTCTCGTTCTCTTCACGCACCTAACAGAATTTTTCATGGACTGGTGAGCCCTCTTTATGAAGCATGCCTATGCATTTTGTTCGGATTCATGCTACAAAAGGTTGCATCAGAATCGGTATTTTGAATATATTCCATCTATAAAATATGTTTTGAAAACACTTTTATCTTTGGATTATGGCGTTCTAAAAATACGCATTTATGCAGTGCAATGCATAGTAGACGTCTACATTCGCTCGTGACTGAATGTAGGACTCTACATAAAGTATTTTAGTGAAATTCAGGAGCAAGTTTGAATAAGCAAGAGCTTTATATTCGTAGTAAAATGCAAGTAGGTGCAGTATAAACACAAAACCTAAAACGCGATGGTTATGGTAATTTTGCTCTGAATGTTCCAGGCATTCGCACTGAGAACGGTAAATGTTTGCCTGGCTCCATTTATTAGTCCTGCAGTCCGAAAAAAGGGGACTTGTCAAAAAGAAAAAAAAATAATTTTTCTAAAATAGCTCTCACCATAGTATTTTGCTGACAACAAAGCTAACTCAGTCGTTTCTGATTTTCAGTGATATGCAAGATTTATTTCAAGCTAATAAAAAAAGGCTGATTCACCAATTAGAAATGTTGCGACGAAGATTGGAACAGTCTCGTAACTAGAGGGCGTGTCTTTGAGAGTCCTCCCCCCCCCCCTCCGTATTTCTCAGGGAGAGGTGCTGTCTTACCAAAAATCAATATTACGAATTGTGGTTCTTCTGAAATAGTCAAGGTTGTTGGCCAATAGGCCCCTCCTCACCTTCTCGAAGGTATTTTAGAGTTACTGGCACTGATAGCTTTAGAAAAGCCTTTTTTTGGTGGGGACATTTGCTTTTATTAAAATTTTTTTCGAAACATGCAGCTGTATTAAGTTTGTGTTGCAATTTTTATTTACGTTTTCAGTTTCAGTAGTACTAAATGTTTATCAATTTAACAAAAATATTTGCACTTACAAAGAGTATCAACAGTGAAGTTTCAACGGTAGGTTGAAACTTCACAGTAACGTACTTATTTAAGGACATCTGCACCTTTTAAAGTTTTTTACAACATAAAGCCTTGTCACAAAGCTGGCTTTATTTTGTGCATTAAGATATCTGTGCTAAATTTTAGTTCACAAAATCCTACTAATATTTTCATAATTAGACATACAGATTCTCCGACTGAACTAATGAAAAAAGCTGGATTACTTACTCTAATGAATAGAACAAGGTTAGCACGTGCAAAATTCCTACATGAATTAATACATGGTCATTTAAACATTGAAGTAGCCGCCTATCTTACGTTTGATCAAACTAGAAAAACACGCCAGAAACACCCAATGAGACTTAACGAATACTCCTTCAACACAAACTGCTTTAGGTACTCATTCTTTCCGTTAGCCACTAATGAATGGAATAAACTGGATCCGAGTATCTCCAGCACTACCGAATTAGCAAAATTTCTAACCCTTGTCGAAAATGAACTTTTTATTATGCAAACGGAATCACCTGGTTGATTTTAATATGGGTGTTCGTGTGAACAATGTACGAGCGAAGTATCATGTCATCATTTTTTTTCTTTAAGCAATTTTTAGTACTGAATCCAGGTGAAGAGAAATCGCCCTGTTGATTCTTGAACATGTTTCTGTTTTTCAGTGTGTATAAATTTGCCCTTCCTTGAAATACTTTGCCATATTGTAGGGTAGTTTCTTATTGCTGTGATTTCTTGTTGTGTTTCTTGATGCATATGCCAATATGTCAACCAATGTGTCAACCAAGTCGCTGCATTTATTTTCTTCTGACAACTTCTCTTTACACTAATGTTTTATGCCTTCTTTGATCTGAAATTGTTAAATGATCCGATTCTGTTAGTTTCATTCTGTACTTTATCGCGATGTATGTCTTTATTGTGTACCTATTCGAATTTTTATGTTCACGCCCTTCCTGCTAAAATCCCTGATGGGATTGGCAGTATGTCGAAATAAATAAATAAATAAATAATTATTGAATTGTGAATAGCGGCTCCCACTGTCAGTACTGTCCGTCATCAATAATATTCATTCCTAAACAGTGTTAACAATACTGTAAAATGCTAGGCACAATAGGCCTTGCATGTTTTATGCTGAATTATTAATGAGAGAGACTATTTTTACCTTCTACACACAGAATTCATATGATTATTAATACGCTTACACATGTCTGTCGAAAGTAGATGCTGAGTCTGGCGTCCTTACTGGTCACATCTGCGGCACCATCGTCGTCACAGTATTTCACCTGCAGTACGGAGGAACACACTTCGTATGTGGAGCCAAAATGTTTGTCATTTCTTTTGACGTGGAGCGCGATGTTTTCTTCGGGCATCTCATGGAACAGCGCACTGCTACGCATCAGGCCAATCGCCAGGTTTGGCGTGGAAGCAGTTGGATCAGAGAGCATGAAAGCAGCATCAGTGCCGCCGGTAAGGCTTTGTGGGTGACTGAAGTTGTACGTCACTTTATCTCGTAGGCGAATGGCGATGCCACGAGCGGCTTCTGTAATTTCCACTTTGCCCATAGCCACAAAACCACTGAAGATCACGGTGGATGTGGACAGTGCTTGAGAGGCCCCCTCTATGGCAGTGAGGATTCTGCATTGAACAAGCGATGAGGAAAAATGAAGAGGTAACAACACTTGTCTTCTGTTCTCGCTATTAAGTGAGCTTGTTAATATAACACATACGCGTCACTTGAACTTCAATAAACTAGAAAAATGTCTCCCATTATTCGGCACGAATTGAAGGACAATATTCTTTCATATGTGTTGAATGTGCTAAAATTATCTTAACTACAAATAGGTTTGCGCAAGTATTGCCTTTGAAAAATTTGCTCAACAGTGTCTCTGGCATCGAATCAATACTTACAGGTGTCCATTACAGGCGTATAGAAACATATTATCTGCCTTATGAAACCAAGAGACGTTGAAATGAAAGATGGTGTAGGAGATTGAATGATTTATGTGTAAGGTTTAACGTCCCAAAACCACCAGATGATTACGAGAGATGTCGTAGTGGAGGGCTCCGGAAATTCCAACCACCAAGGGTTCTTAACGTGCACCGAAATCTGAGCACACGGGCCTACAGCATTCTTGCTCCACTGAAAATGCAGCCACCGCTGCCGGGATTCAGTCCCGCGATCTTCGGGTCAGCAGCCGAGTATCTTAGCCACTATACCACCGCGGCGGGGATAGAGGACTTTTTGTACGTTTTAACAGTAGCGTAGTAACTCTGATACCAGTGGCAAATAAATAAAATGGAGCAAAAACCGATTCCACGCAGCTACGGAGTGTGCCTACAACCATCGGATTTTAATGTTCTTCATATGGTCCCTACCCAGCCACAGTTGGGTTTTCCTCCACTTAAACTATTTGCATTTATGTCACAACAACTATACTGCAGCTAAACCTGCAAATATTGCCACTATTCCTTTCTCAGTTCCATTATCTGTTGGTTTTAATATGTTTTGTTCAAAGAAGAAATGTGCCCTTGATTCAACCTCGTTTTCTTTTTCCTATGAGCATGCAACATGAACAGAATAAAGCGGGTATATCTAGTGATATAGAAACTGTAATTATAAAGAAAAAATGTGCGCCTAAACAACAGTACACACCAGGCACAGCTATCTCAGCATTCCCATCGAGCAGTACTCAGGCCACCAGGCAGATTTTCTAGCATGCGAACACACTTTCAAAATACAAATGTTATTAGTATCGCGAAAAGAATACTTGGTTCTAGCACAATATTTATAGGTCTTTCTAATTTCATTGGGACATAGCCACACACTTTGGCCATTTGTCAGGGCTGTCAAGTAAGGCCTTGATAGCTGAGACACGCGCAACCGCTTCATGATCTGGTTTTTTCGAAGCTGTGTGACTGAGCCACGTACCTATTTGTGGAGTTTCCAGAACGAGACTGCAGGAGCGCCTGGCTGTCAATATTTAATACATGACTGGTTGTTGATGCAATATTCTTTGCTGTCTGAAAAATTAAAAAGGGCACACAAAAGAAAGATTAGCCTGTGAGCACCTAAAAACGGAGCGTACTTTACTGAAAAAAAAAAAAACGCGGAGAATTCCACCATCCACCATTTTGCTGGATTATGGTGTTAGAAATATTGGTGTGACATGGTGTATGGTGGCATGTGGTGAATCTGGAGTGCCGGCAATGCTTGCGCGCAAGACGGCGTCTGCACCACCATGAAAAGCTGCCACTAAATAAAAAATAATTGTATAAAACAACGCAGAAAGCTCATGTAAAAAATCAAGAAAACCTGACCACAAGAATTTGAACATGCAACCTTTGATTTTTTAACTGAACATGCTAACCACTGCGCCATGCTAACCTGTATAAAGTTTGCTGTTAGACTGCCAGTAAACTTACTAACTGACCATTCAACTTAAGTTATGTCTGTTGCTTACTTCAGATAGACGAGATCTGCACCTGCTACTGAAACTGGCACATTCATTAAACACAAACACTGCTGCCTAGAATAAATTTCACTGAAATAATGGCAACAGCGCTATATTTTTTTTACAATTCACAACCGCAAGAAAGAAAAAACCAAGTGTACTGATGAGTAGGTACAGTTTACCGGCGGTTAACGTCAAGTTTATTATCCGTTTCTCGCTCGTACTAAAGGGTGACATCTGCTCAGGTTTTATGACGGCTCTAGGCTCATTTGATAGATACGCCCCCACAAGTGATAGAGTAGTGCGATGTTTTTCGCGCAACGTACAGTGCAGTCGTGCCAGCGCACTGCTGTAGCTATACCGTTAGCAACAACTACATAACGGCTAGGCCTGACAAAATGCAATGCACAGGAAACACTAAGCTATGATATTGGTTCAGTAAGCATACGAATGGACAGGTATGTGTTCTCGCATAAAATCCAGAGAAGTACCGGCCAGTACGACCTGCAGCTGTCGGTGACGGAATGCGTACGCTTGCGGGAAGTGCTGGCACCGCGTCGCATCGATGTTTGTAGCTTTTTGCGCGGATACTGTACACTAAGAAAACTGCTTCATTTAGGTTAAATGACGCCACGGCTGTGCTGTATTGTGGTTCTCACTCGTCGAAATTGTGTATTCGGAAATCCAGAAGCACCGATAGTGCTTGTATGGGTTCGGTTGTTTGGTCTAACCTTTGGTGGAAATCGCGGTGGTAAAACAGAAGGGTGAAAGTCAAACTCGCTGGGACTCTTATCGACGTATGTCGAAGGTAAAAATTTAGACGTTTTAACATCGCATGCACTTTGTTAACTTAAAAGTACGGCTGGAGTAATTGGGTCTGCGAAAATTGCCAGAGTTGCGCTTTTAGCGAAGTGATGATCAAGTGACCGTTGTATTCGTGTCTACCGTTGAGGCAATTGCAAACTGGAACTCATTTATTTCTCGTCAACTGCTCGGCGATGTAACACATTTACTGTCAATGTTCACAACGACACCTCTAGTCTTCTAAACATCACAACAAAGCACCACATCTCGAATGTCAAACTGATGTATACGTGAACGAAATGTAAACATTCATGGCCACATTTTACGCTACACAAAAACTGAAGCGTTGTTTACTCAGAGAAAAACAAAACGCGCTAGACATCGTGATTTCACACACTGCCATCTGCTTTTTATTAATGCCACCATCATCCACCAAGCTTCCATCATGCCACCATCATCCAGCTTGTTAACCAAGCCATCCACCAAACACGCCACCATCAGGCGGCATTTTCTGTTAACAGTATACCATTGGCTCGTCACAACCACCACCATCTGCCACCAATTTTTCCACTTTCGCCGTCATCAGCCATCAAGACCACTACAGTTCAACGTTATCCACTGTCATTTTCACCATATCCACCAAAAATTCCACCATCCAGTAACACTATATTTTAAATAGAATAGTAAGCTTCTTTGGTTGATTTTTTTGATTATTTGAGAGTTTAGGCACAATTTCGCTTATTATTCTAGTTTTTAGACACTTCAAATCAAGAAGAAGGCCAAGTTGTCAAATATTCAAAACAATTAACATAACAAGCATTCAGCTTAAGCTTAGTCGCGAACCAGAATGCACTAACCCTGTTCTTAGAAAGTAAGACAATTTTTACAACCATTTACCATTCATTTTATGAGTTGCTGGCCTGACATCCAAACGTAAGAGCAATTTCGAAACAGCTCTTTAGGCCAATACGACCGTCTATTGGGGACGATGCCTGAGCATCAGCTGCGCCCATACGTTCACAGAAACTGCACAACATAACAAATGAGAACTGATGGAGTTTTCATGGTATCCGCATGGCTTATGTGAACGCTCCAGTTCACGCGGCCAGCTACTGCAAGGACTGGAGCAGCCCGCTTTGACCTGAACCAGATCAGTCGCACAACCTATATATCACACTTTGCACCCACTGGCTTTTGCATCTTGCCAAAGATAGAGAAAATTTTAAAAAGCAAAACGTAAGAAAGTTTTAGCGGCACTACTGTGAAACTTGAGCGGCGATCAACGATGCATGCAATGTGAGCCGGCGTTTTCAATATGCACCCAGAGTAAGAAGAGCCGGACATAGTAATTTGAGACATCGCTTTCAGAGAGTGTTTTTTTTTCATGAGGAACAAGCGGTACCAAGCCTGCAACCAGATATGTAGAGAAGGTTCGTTCAGATACAGTAACGTCCCTTGAAAACTCGTTCAGAATCTAGCCAATTCTAAGGTTCTTTTTTCACGCCTGGTTCTAGCTTCATATGGCGCGTAGAAAAGGGCGTTTTAGCTCCACTAACGTCGCCGGATGTTTGGTGAGCTAAATGTTGCATTCTCCAACTTTGGTGAACCGGTAGCAAGTAAAACGCCATTAATTTTTATGCCTTTTTCGAAAACTGATGTTTTAAGCAGGTGGCCCCACCGTTGAGATGAACCGTTTTTGATTTAAAACAGAGAACTTCAGCGTCTTAAAAATTTATTTGCAGGTTTAGGCATCGCGGCTAAGTACGACTTGATGTTTGAAGCAGTAACGACGAAACTGGTGAGATGCACAGTGTGAACCGGAAAACATTTGTGGCACATCCTCGTTTGTGATTCACCCTGACAAACCAAAGACACGCCGACAAACCGATGCCATAAAGCGCTTCGCCCCCAGAAACTTTGTAGCACATGATTAAGGGAATAATCCAGTTTGTTGACATTTCAATGTGAATGTTCGGGCTTTTTTTGAAGGGCACACATCAATTAGTACAGAGAAGTGTGAAATGTGTTGAAGAGAGTGGAGATTATATGTCGAATCAGGTTGATTCTTTTATTTCTATATTCATTAAAGTTAGTCTTAAAAAAACTTCTTCAATTCCCCACAGGAGCAAGATTAATAAAGCACACAAACATTCTATATTATGGTTTTCAAATAGCTTGCAAAACTCATCTGCCATCGTGAGAATATGTGTGGGACCCGATAGTGCTTGTAAAATTGTTTTAAACTTAACGCAAGACAATACGAAAGGGCCGCTATCGGAAATTGGGTCTCAATGACGCCGCAGTCCCGCTATAGATGTCGGTACACTCTATTCGCTGTTAGCGATAAAAAATACAGCTGATTCTCTATTACGGGCCACTTTCGGGTGAAAGGAAGGTACGCGAAACAAACCCTGACCGTGTGCTGTCTCTATAGCTCCACACGCCCTACTGTATATGTGACCACATGTAACAAAAACATATAAACACACACCAAACTACAAATAACAGAAATGGTATCGCCCTCTGCTGTGTGCAGTGTGGCAAGAACTAAATATCAAGCTTCCTTCTGTATCCTATACTTTGATCGTGGTGAAATCAGATATTTAGTGGGAAAGGCAGAATTTCATGAAACAGCCGAAGTCATTTCTCTAGATTTTGAGAGCGACATACGCGCATTACCTGAGTTGAGGTTTGAGGCTATTCACCACGCACTCACGTGTTTTCTTTTGTATTGCTGAGGAGTCGGTCACTTTTAGGAGATTCTACATATCAGTCGTCTAAACATAACTACCTGAAAACATCAGAAGAGCAAAAAAAACAAAAATGTAAACAATGGTAATGAATAAAAGTCCAGAAGTGTATCTATACCTGAACTTCAAAAAAATTGGTTATTACTACAACAACCTATATCATTATGCAGCTAAGCTTGAAGAGACAGGCTATAACAGACACACTCTCTCTTGCTCGCTCGCTAACACACACACACACACACACACACACACACACACACACACAGACTTATAGGCACACAGCGCTGACTGTCAATTATTTAAAATTGTTTTCGTGAATACAGATGCAAAATCAACCAAGAAATAGGCAAAGGCGATATATGGTCGTCATCTTCACAACTATTTTTTGTTAACGTAGGTTATGCTGCGAAAAAAAAACATGAGAGATTGACATGCGCAAAAATTTTGTGCAGAGGCTTGAATTATAAGGTGGTTCAATACTTCAATCGAGACCGTAATTACAAAGTTAAAATAACTTTTTATATACAGGAGCTATGCGCTTATCTCAAATAGCAGAATTCATATTGTTTATGCGAAAACCTCATTACAGTTTTGCGATATAGAGAAGACACATTCTGTTAGTTATTGTAGCATAATGGAATTCAGGAAAATTCTGTGTTGAAACCACAACTGGAGAGTCGACGAGCGCAACGAACAGACGACAGGAAGGACGTCACTTTTATGCTTATAGAGGTGCAGTCTTGATATGTGGGGTTTTAACGTCCCAAAACCACTATATGATTATGAGAGACGCCGTAGTGGAGGGCTCTGGAAATTGCGACCACCTGGGGTTCTTTAACGTGCACCCAAATCTGAGCACACCGGCCTACAACATTTTCGCTTCCATCGGAAAGGCAGCCGCCACAGCCGGGATTCGAACCCGCGACCTACGGATCAGCAGCCGTGTACCTTAGCCACTAGACCACCATGGCGGGGCAGAGGTGCAGTCTTTCCCCATTCGTTAACGTATGTGCAT